TCTTATTAAAATTATAAATTTTAATATAAAGAGAAAATTTCAATTTTCACTATATTTTATTAGTAAATTTAGCTCCTGAGTCATTACTTTTGATCACTACTATATATATAATTATATTTAATAATTATTTAAATTATAAACTTAATATTTTATATTAAATTATTAAAATTTTAAGAATATTTAAAATAAATTCTTTAAATATTTATTATTATTAATATTTAATATAGTAAAATTTAAGTTATAATTAATTATTTTTAAATTTATAAATAATATTATAAAAATTTTATTTATTTTTTATAAATTTAAATTTTTATTTATAATTAATAATAAAAAACTTAGCTTTTTAAATTTATTATAATTTAATATAAATTATTTAAAAAATATAAAACTTTTATATATTTAACAATATTTATTAAAATTATTTTTAATTAAATTTTAAGTTAAAAAATTAATTTTAAAAATTAATTTAAATTATAATTTAAATTTATATAAAATATTATTAAAATATATTATTTTAAATATTAAAAATATATAATTTTGTTATTTAATTAATAATTATTTAATTTTTATTTAATTTTAAAAAATATTAAAGTTTTTTATTATTTAATTTTATTAATTATATATATTTAAAATATTATAAAGCTTTATTATATAATAAATTTTAATATAATATTAATATAAAGAATTATTATATTAATAAATTATAACTTTTTAATATTTATAAATAAAAAATAATATAATTTAATAAATATTTTAGTAATATTTCTTATATATTTAAATTGAATTTCAAAAAATTATTTAAAAAATTTTTGTCAAAATAATTTTAATAAGTTATTTTATATATTATTCCTAAATAAGTTTATTTATTAAATTATAAGAAATTTTAGTAAAATTCTAATAAAATTTTTATTGTAATAAAGAAAATTATGATTAAAATTATTTTTTACATGACATTTTTATAAAACTTTAATATATAAATTATATAATAGAACTTTTCTAATTATTTTTTAAATTTAATTTTTCAACTTAAAAAATTAATTAAAAAAATTAATACAAATATTATTTAATAAATAGTCTTAAGTAAATTTTTAATAAATATTAATAAATATATATAAAAATTTTAAATAATTTTTATTGAATTATAGTAATCTAAAAAATTAAGTTTTTATTACTGATTATATTCTTTATTAAATATAATTTATAATTAAAATTCGATACAGTAATTTATAAAATATCAAATTGCTATAATAGATTTATAATATAAGAAATTCATTTCATTTTCTAGTAAATATTCACCTATTTATATTAATTATTAATTTTAGCTAAGGAAATGCATTGCTGTGCCAATTTACTAAGTTTTAATAATCATGTATATAAATAAACTTAAAAGCATTTTTTAATTATTAGTATTTAATCTATTAAAACTTGATACTATAGATAATTTCGAATTTGAATTTCTTACATGAATTTAACTTATCTTTGAAAGTTTATAAATAATCATCTTGTGCCCCGCTACGTTGCAGAATTTATTATACTTTAGTATTTAACATGGTAGACAAGTTTTAGATTATTGTTTTATGATCGTCCTACCCGTCTTGTCCCAATCACTATATTTAAACAATTTTTCTTTTGCTAGCGCTAGCACTACTTTGATCCAAGGAAAGCATGAAAGTAATTTTAAAGTTCAGATTTATTATCAAAAAAATTCATGATCAAATCAAAAAATGGGATTTAAACTAAATTTTCAAATTAAACATTTTGTGAAACTCATTAACTGGTTCATTTATTCTTTTAGCTAACTTTTTGAGACAAATAAAAGCATTTATTGTAAAAGTAAATGAATTAAAATTATTAACAAATATTAAAATCAAGAGTTGATAATTGTTATTTAATCATCATCATCGATTATTATCGTTGTGATTTCAGCAGCGGTTGATGAATTTGAATCATTTGATAATATAGAATTTAAACTAATTTTAACTTCTCTTAATAAAGCTGAAGCCAATGGTGGAGGTACCGCGTTTCCCACTATCAGAATTTTATTGTGAAGTCAATTGCGTTAAATTTAAGAAAAAAATGCCAATTTTTTAATCGATTCAAAAATTACCTTGCTTATACATCGATCTAACGTTTTCCCCAATGAATTCGTAATCGTCGGGGAATCCCTGCAAGCGACATTGTTCGCGGACTGAAATGTACCTCCATCTTGATGGATGAATACAGTTCCACCCAGGATTTAAAGATGTGAGGACGGTCAAGCTGACGTCGTCCCATTTTAATTGTTTCATGTATGAAGGAGGCGTTTTCTGATAATCGAATACATTGTGTATATCTGAGAATTTACTCCTATTCGTCCGAAGATTTTCCGGAAGACCTTTTTATATACCAAAAAATGATATAAAACGACCAGAAAGCAAAACTAAATGAAATCCGACTAATTATTATCACCTGCAAAAGCCTCGTGTATTGTCGGCGTTCTTGCCAATCCTTCTTTCAATAGCGTTGCTCTTTCTTTAATTGAATATTTGTTCCAAATGAAATTAGTCGGCTTTGGCCAACTTGGTTTTATTTGGCCCCTTTTTACGCTTAAAAGGAAGAATCTTTTTCGTTTCTGTGGTACGCCAAAATTTGAAGCATCGAGATAACTTGTCTCGAAATCATAACTAAGGAAAATCTCAAAAGGTAAGAAGAATCTTTTATCATGGCAAACTGAGTTGACCTTAAAATAATAAATTTACCCAAGATCAACTAAACTTTTGTAAAAAGTTGTCGTTATTTCTTCGGTTTCCTTTTTCGCATGAAATCCGACAACATTTTCCATAACTATTATTTTAGGGTTTATTTTTTTAATGGCTTCTATAATGTCGAGTAAGATATTATTCTGTATAGCGCGAGATTGTCGAGTTCCGCGAGTATTCGCAATCGAAAATCCTTGGCAAGGGGGTGATGCTAGCATGACATCTACTTGAAACCATGGATCGCTTAAACGATTTAAAAAGTTCTTAATATCTTCATTAAAAACCAATGTCGAAGCATGGTTAGTTTGAAATGTAATACACGCGTCTTCATCTATATCCACCGCCCATTTTATTTGAAAACTTTCTTCTTTAGCACCGCAACTGAAGCCACCGGCACCGCAAAACAAGTCGCCAACTGTGTAGATAATATTTGTGTTTGGTTTCGAAGACTATTTTATTATAAGAGAAAAAATAATGAAATTTTATGTTATAAATAGAGTTTAGTTTATAAAATATTACCATATTCAAAATATTCATAACCAAAAATATACGAATTTGAAGTCGAATAAATACATAAGTTTCTTATATACTTTTTCGTTCCTTTTGACAGTCACATTATATTTAACCGCAATAAACTTTTAGTCCTTCATCATGCCCTTTATCACATTCCAATGCTGGCCTTATTAAACTCATAAAAAAAAACTTTATTACGTTTACGTATAGAGTTGGTTATACTTGATTAATTCCAGTGATTGATAAATAATTTATTGGCGGTCAATATGTAGTACATTCCTTATCGATAAAGAAATCTTTCCGCCATAAATCTAATAGTTTTAACTTGTAAACTCAGTTTGATCGATACTGTTTAAGTCATAAATAAAAACTAAATCTTAAAAAATGCTAATTCAAAACAAAATATTGTACCCTCACTATAAGAAACTTCGAATTATTCATTTACAGAAAAAAATAATTTGGTTACTAAAAAAAAAGTGGGTTTAGACACAATTAAATATTTTAACTTTTATGATTAAAATTCATAATTTACAAATATTGATTATAAATATGAAGTCTATTATATCAAATTTTAGCCTATTAAGAATTATAAATATATTTAATAAAACTAATACTTTATACTTTGATTCAATTGATCTTATCAATGGAAGTTTTAATCCATACTAGAATTATATATTATATCTTAAACTCTTAATTATAATTACGTATTATATTGTAAATAATGAATTTTTGTAATATAAATCTAATTGATGTTCAATTTTGAATAAAAAGAAAATTTACATTTTTAAGCAAAATTATAATTCTGATTTTTGATTATAATTTAATATAATATTAAACTTTATCTCAAACTAAAAATTCAGTTTGAGTTCAGTATAGAGTTTGGAATTAATATTAATTTTAATATAAAAATTTGAATTATATTCGAACTCTAATTCAGTTTAATTTTGAATCAAACTTAAAGTTGACTTAAATTTGATTTAACACATTTTAATAAATGATGTTTTGAATATTTATTTTGAGAAAATAAATTACTTATAATGACTAACAAATTATGAAATTAAAGAATTAATTTTATTAATAAAACATAATAAAAGCTGTTATTTTCTTTATAAAAGAATTTTTGTTTTTATATTAAAATAAAGTATATAATTTAATATATATTATTTTCAGATTTTTTAGATTTTTTCTGAAAAAGTTTTCTGATTGCAAAATTATTATAAAAATTTTTTCTAATTAAATTTTATTTTAATTATAAAAAATTTTTGTATTGAATTTATAATTAGAATAACTATCAGAAAAAAATTATTTATTAAACTATAAATATAAATTTTATTTTAATTTAAAAATAAAAAATTATTTTTAATAAAATTATAAATTTTAATATAAAGAAAATTTTAATTTTTACTATAATTTATTAATAAAGTTAATTATCTAATTTTATAATTTATTAGTTATTATATTTGTAATTATTATGGGTCAGTGCAAAAAGATTTGTATCTTAATATAAAAATTAATAATTATTTCTAATAAA